AAGCAGTGGTATCAACGCAGAGTACTAGTCAAAATTCGAATTTTCTGTGTAGGGTCATGAAAAATCGGAGACTTGCAACAAAAATCGGAGCAGTCAGTATTGTAGGTTCTTTCACCAGCTCTTGCAAACTGTGCAAAATTTGCGCCGATTGAGCGCCTCTATAAAAAAGTTACGATTTTCCTGAAAAATGCCAAAATAAATCAAATTCGCCCTTTTGTATTGTTTGCTCAAAAATCATAACCTTTTAATAGAAACGCTCAATCGGCGCAAACTTTGCACAGTTAGCAAGAGCTGGTGAAAGGACCTACAATACTGACTGCTTCGATTTTTGTTGCAGATCTCCGATTTTTATGACCCTACACAGAAAATTCGAATTTTGACTAATTTTCTTCTATCGCTTTTATCTATGAAATGATGCGATTGAATTGCTCTTTTATGTAAAAATGAAGACTCGCAAATCGGTTCAAAAAACGAGAAGTTATAAATTTTTGAAAATGGTGCGACAGAACTTTCGGGCCAACCTAATATTATAAAGAGTTATCTAAAAAACATCTGACTCCATTTCCTGAGCTCACAATTTTCTAACAAACTAGACAGAAAACAGTATTTAGTATGGGGGGGGGGGGGAGTGGAGGACGAGCGTCCAAGTAGTCAGTGGCGTGCTATTATGCAAGAGAATTTTTCAATGATAAGAACAGTGGTATCTTGAGGATTGAATCCCTAATCGACACAAAATTTATATTGCGCGGAACTTCGCTTGGCAGTGAACCCTCCCGCCAAGTAACTTACTACTAACAGTGGCGAGAATTTGATTGTAAATGTCGAATAAGCTGGTCATCAGATATTTAAATCGGTGCGCGATTATTTCATTACCTTCGAAATTTGTGCAAATAATTTCCTAGAAGGGTTTCGTTTTTTAGGAACCCTCCAAGAATACATATGAACAATTTGCAAAACTGCAAAGATGTGGTGGCTTAGAGGATTTGAACTCTTGAGCACAATTCAAAGAACACGGATTTGGTATGATTGCGCGACCGCAGATTGGTAAGCAACACCTCAGACAATCGACGGGACCCCTCCGCCGGACAGTCCGAATCTGCCAGAGTCGCGCCGGACCCAGTTGACCAATGAGAGAGGGGCAAATGGGCGGTCCGTCGCGGTGACATCACTGGCAGGCAAGTGGGAGGCTTCTCCGGCCCTGCTGCAAAGGTCCGCCATTTCTCCGGCGCGACTCTGCCAGATTTGGCGGACTCGCGCCGGAGAAATTTGCCCGGCGCGAGTCCGCCAGATTTGGAAGAGCCGCGCCGCAGAAAATGGGAGGGGTCCGGAGCAGAAATGGGAGGCCTCCGGAGCAGAAAATGGGAGGTATCCGGAGCAGAAAATGGGAGGTATTCGGAGTAGAAAATGGGAGGTATCCGGAGCAGAAAATGGGAGGTATCCGGAGCAGAAATGGGAGGGCTCCGCCGGACAAATGGGAGACCCACCGCTGGGGAAACGCCGCACCCTGTCATTTCTCCGGCGGAGGGGTCCTATCCGCTGTCTGAGACATAAAACCCCACTTCGAAGGATTAAGGTCTTCCTTTGTAAGTTAATGGTTTGTCATGTTGGTGCACATTGGCATTCTGATTAGCAAAGTCTTTCTAAAATCCGCAATTATTTGAAACGCTGACGGCATCAGAGACACAAAAAGAGAGACTGTGTCAAGATCAGAAAAGGGGAGAAAAGCACAAAGTGTAAAGAAAAACTTTCTTAAGAACCGGTGCAAATTTGATGGCTATTTTGGCATAGGTGACATTGATAGTGCTGGTGAACAATTTCTGCCAAGCCTCATGTAAGAAGCAAATCTGAGGTTTCCAAGAAATTCTGTAATTTTTCAGAACCAATAAAAAAGAGTAACAGATTTTATTCGTCACCTTAACAAATTATAAGCTTGCCTGGACTGCGACAACGGCTCCGGTGCAAAAGTTTTAGGTAGAAATGGCAAATTTGCATCAATTCTTCTTGAAACAGACTACGAAGCTAACATTCAGGGTAAAAAGGTTCCTAACACGAAGTTGCGCATTTGGCAGATTCGAAACAAGTCTGCTTCATTGAGCAAAAAAATTTCTCACCGAAAAAAAAGTGAAAGAATCAGAACTTTCATGTCTAAAGAATAAAGATACTCGACTGCTTTATAAATCAGACTTACCGGAAGGGTTTGAGTCAGAAACCGTTGCAGTAGATTCATTTGAACTATCATCGATGAAGGGATTACATTCGGCTTTTGCGGTACCTGTTTCGTAAATGAGGTCTCCCTTCTGGATACTCCTAGAAGTTCGCTATAATTTTTACTAGCTGGCATACTCGGTACTGCCCGGCCCTTTCAATTATGATAAAAACTGCCTTATATCCGTACAACATTCCTGTCCGGGTCCTCCATACGCCAACTGCCTCAACTAATCAGCATGTTCACGTACCTTACCTCCCCCCCCCCTTCTCACGCCACCCCGTCAGTCCCATAGCTCAAATTATGTAGAAGAATCGATAAAATCGATGTGATCGAGACTTCTGTCGGTTTGTTTCGTAAGTTTCTTCAATTTTTTGATTTTGCCGCAGTAGGCCATATACTTCTCAATTCCAATAAGATGCAGGGTGCCATTGGATAGAGCAAAGTAAGCTCTACAAGAAGGTGTGTAAGCGTTTGCATCAACTTCGGTACCCTTCGAGTTAGAAGCCGAAATCTAAGAAGTTTCAAACGCCTTAATGCAGTTTCAGATGCCTTGTTGCAGTTTCAGACAAAAAAAAAATAAAAAATTCAAGGATTTATATTTTCGTCCAAAACAAACTTATCGGTTCTATAAACACTCCACTCAAGGCATTCATATATGCCGCTGCCGTATCTGCATCTGTGCTAAAAAGCGAGAACCGAAGATTTTAAGCTTTCGGAAAAATTATACTGCTTTCTTAACACAAAGTAGAGATTTATATCACACGCAAATGCAAATTTTCAGCTTTCTACAAGTTCCGGTTTCCGGAAAAATTAATTTTTACATAAAAGACCTCAGCAAGCTGTATCCAGTCTCGGAATATAGTGTAGGGAGTTGAAAATATGGGGTTGTATTTCTAAAGGCGTGTACGATACATCTAGTCCTGTGTGAACAGCGCAGCAGAGTGTTCTTGAAAGCACGAAAATCTTTGTTTTCTGGGTTTCTAGCACAAATTTAGATATAGCGGCATCAGTGGCGGTCTGAGGGCCAGCCCCCCCCCCCCAAGAATGGGTCGAGAAATTTTTGAAATTTACTTCCATGGTTATAAAATTGTGCAAGGAGGATTCTGCCTATGAGGATTCTGCATGGTTTCCTTCAAGATTATCTATTTTGAAACGTGACAAACTCATGCTCCCGTAAATGGATAGGCAGATAAAGGCTGCTGCATGACGAAGACGTAATGGCAACATTAGTTGAGCGGGCGCGAAGGCGACGCGCGTATCCTCAAATATTATAGATCCCGCACCTCATGCGCTCTGCGGCTAATAAAGCCGCGTTCGCGCCCGAAGATATTGCGCCTTCGTCATGCAGCAGCCTATAGATATCTGGCTGACCGTCATTGAATAGCCTGTACAGTCTGCCCCAATCGGGATCAGGCCGAACCGTAGGCTGAATCTGCGCGTTCGCAGCGCTAGGGATTTGCGCTGCATACGCGCGCTGTCGCGGAGAGCGAAGAGATTGAGGAGAGAGCAGAAGTGGCGCGAAATACTCGCGACGCGCACTCCCGCCGAGCCAATTTTGGCCTGGTTAGGATTGGGGCAGACTGTACTTCAGCTGTTTGGCTAAAGAAGATTTACGGTTTTCGCTGCATAGAAATTTTATGCGCGAACCGAAAAATCACAATTTGAGCCCTCCTCTGAGCTCGAAATATGCCTACTTTGTAATTGATTTTTTTGCTGTTGCGAAGTGATGCTGATGGTTCCGAGTTGCTCTCGCTTTTGAGATAAGCAATTGACTACTCTTTGATTTAACGGAATTGGCGGCCGGAAAGCGGAGTTTCGAGGCCTAATCGAGGCTAGGGTATGACCAGAGAGCACGCTCGCGAGAAAAACGCAGACTGCGTCGCCGGTAGGTGCGAGCGGTCGCCTTCCAGCCGCTAATCTCGTTAAATCAAAGGGCACATCGCTTATCGTGTATGTAGATTGTTGCAGAAAGACAATTTCGAAGAGTAAGACGGTTTTTAGGTGAGAGAAAAAGTGTGCGCATGTTGGCCTATTACATTTTACTCAATCTATCTATGTAGAAATAAAACTCAATGTCTGTAAGGTTCCGGTTTATTGGTTGTGTTTCATAAAAATTTTATTGAAACGTCCGCCGTCGCACCGATCAAATTGAAACTGCACACTAACTTACTCGACCCTGCGCAGATTGCAGGCTACTTTTTGCCGCGATGTCCAAGGTCCTTCTATTGATTTATTGATTTGTTTGATCAAATCTAACAAGATGGCTCTAACCAATCTTTTCCAATAAATATGTAAACAGAGGGAGGGGTAAAGCTTATTTCAATTCAAGGTTGGCAAAATGCGGTAGTTTTCTCAAAGCACTGTTCGCGCACGGTAAGAAAGCTTAAGTTACACACTCTGATTAAACTAATCTAGAGTCTTGGGTGAGACAGGACCGCCAGCTGGTATAAGATATTACTATTTTTACGAACAGTGCGGAAGTTCTCTTCATAGAAACTTTTTTCAAAACTTGACTGCATCTTGGCAATTTAGATTCGGAGCTTGAAAAGCTTTTATCGAGATAGGAAGCACTGCAAAGAGCAGTAGAGATGCTTATTGACTTATTTCTGATACTTCAAGAAGTGCAAAACTCTAGAGGAACGGCTGCATTGAAACAAGGCAACTAAAAACCGGCCAGAACATTCGGAACGGTTAGTACACAGAAACCAAAAATACAGATCTACAGAACACTAGAGTAATGCGTCTTCTCACATTCCTTCCTCTACCCCGGCGGGTTTACTTGCCTGAGGGCCGCATGCACTAACAACCCCGCGGGGAGGGAATCGCAGCTTCAAAGAAAGCTTCATATCCTGAAGCTCCAGATATCTGGATTTCACGTTGTGTACGTAACCGTAAGTATTCCTACTATCCTTCACTATGAACACATTGAACAGCAGCAAGAATCTGTACAAGCTGCATTCCAGCATTTGTATGATCCCATGATCCTCGGCGCTTTTTTTGAAGTCATTTTTCTTTCTCCAAAGTTAACGAAAAGTTTCCAAAGTTGTGCAGATTATCTAACCCAACACTGCTTAGCATGTTGCTGATAATAACAAGTGATGTATCGGAGTCATGAAATTTGCGATCAACCACAAGTCGAAAGTTGTGGTTTATCGAATAATTCAATTCTTAGAAAACTCATTTGTTCTCATCAGTAACATGTTTAGCACTGTTGTGTTAGATGATTAGTACAACTTTGGAAGGTTTCCGTTAACTTCAAAGGAAGAAAAATGACTTTAAAGAAAAGCGCCGGGGATTGTCAGGGATCATACAAAAGTTGGAAAATGCAGCTTGCACAGCTTCTCGCTGCTGTTCAATACGTTCATAGTGAAGGATAGTAGGAATACTTGCGGACAGGTAGATAACGTGAGATCTAGATATCTGGAGCTTCAGGATATGAAGCTTTCTTTGAAGCTGCGATCCACTCTTCGCGGGGTTGTTACTGCATGCGGCCCTAAGAGCCTTAGACCCGTATGCACGTACATCCCCTCTCAGATCCCCTCCCCTCCTCAGCGGGGATGGGGAGACGGTCGTAAGGCGCGCATTTTCGTACGGCGGTCGCGCAGGGCCGCGTTGCGGTCGCCGCGGCAGTTTGAAATTTGCCCGGTATACTCGTCCCGCTCTGCCGTCCTCGGTGGCACGCGCAAGGCGCGTCAAGTCGGCCCTGATGGCGCGCAATGCGGGACGCCGCGTCTCCAACTCCTCCAATCGATACACTGCTGGATTTTCCGTCGCAATTGTACTACGGCAGCATTCATGATGTTTTTGAGTTTACGTTATCTTCATCAGCTGATTGTGGTGTGTGATGCGACTTTGCTTGATTGTCATCATTTTCAGAGTCCAGGTGTTCTTCATCACGAGTACGATTCCTCAGAAGAGCTAGACGCGCACACTGAGATGGTCGCTACAATGTCTATACTCGTATCTTTGAGAGACAGGTATGGTGTATGAATTTGTATTCTTTTCTTTTTATTATTTTTTTTAATTTTTATTCTTTTCAAATTGTCTCTATATATTCTGTTTCTTTCTTCGCCATTGCCCACAACTCTTTGATGCTTTCCTCTCAACATCTCCTTGTTAGTCTGCCTGCATATGGAACTAGTCTAGTTGCGAGTTTTTTTGTCGAATTTTCAAGTAGCTGTGAATTGGAAAGAAAGGTCATATTTTTGGAACTGAAACTTTAGTTAGTTTTTGCAAACAAGAGTTCTCACTGTCGATTTATTTTCATAAAATTCCTATGCTTCATGTGTCTGTCGTTTGTATCACAGTGCTCATGCTTTAGTGGCTGGTATTAAGCTCACAAGTCTTCATGTAAGGTTTTTTCAGGATTTTTGGCCCGAGCAGCAACGCTGCAGGAATGTGATTGCGAAAGGGACCCCGAGATTCAAAACATCGAAAATTATTTTGAAGATATAACCCAAGCGGTAAGTTTTTCAAATCTTTTTTTTTTGATTTTGCTATTGAATATCTGAAATGTACGATTTACAGACGGGCGATACTTTAAAGGAAATTGACTTAGACGATTATGAGTTGCAAAAATGGAGTTATCCTTATCAAGATGATAAAACGCAGCCGTACGACAGCTATATTCCATTCGCTCATGAATATCAAATTTCCAAACTCGGTTTTGGGAGATCGTCGAACACAATCAGATCTCGTAAAGTGCGGTGTATCTTCGTTATCATCGGTGCTCTCATATCGTGCCTTACCCCTTTCCGCTTTAACATTGCCATAATAATATTGTTACAGGTGTACAGAAGCGCTTTAATTTGTTGTTTGTTTTGAAGTCCTAAAATGCTCTTCTTTCCTCAAGCACCCTGTACAGCTCAATGTCGTGTATTCTTGTCTTTCTATGATTATGGGGTACAACGTTGTTATTCATAATGAAATTTCATTAATTGAATATTTTCTGCACATACATGGACATACTGCATAAGAGATGACTTTAGATTACGGAAGACTTGTGGCCATTCATTAAAGCACAGTGTAATAATAAAGGTTGAGCGATGAGAGTAGTTTGGTAGCACAATTTTAAGGCACTTAAAGCATCACGGGATCGCTCATATTGGCTTGACTGAGAGCTCGCACCGAAAAGGTAGATTTCAAAAATCACAAAATAAACAAAGAAAAACTCAAAGAAGAACATCTAATATCACTCGAGAAATCTTGAGGAAATATAGTCATTACATGGCACTACATTTGTGCAAGCTGAAGACACATATAGGGAAGCTGTGAAATGAAAGACATATTACAAAATCAGTGAGAACGTAATGCTAGAAAGACAACGCTGTTGTCAAGAACAACAAACCCGGAATGCTTCGGGCTGTGTTGGGTAACGTACTTACATCTACCACAAACATTTCTATAACTCAATAAACTTATTTACATATGGAATGCAATGGCGGCTGCGGAAGTATAATCTCTTCTATTGATGGCAAAGAACGGAAAGTAAAACGGTAAAAGCAAATGAAAATAAACGTATGACTGGAGATTCATAATCATGGCTGCATAACGAATACCTCTATACTGATTAGGTTCTCTGTCACAGGATTCCTACCGATAAATGAGCAATAATGATCGACCGGTTCGTAATCTACGTACCTTATAACCATATCGATCATGGCAGCTCAGCAATTTTCGAAATAACTCAAAATCTTCGACTCTACATCCATCCTTGGACATTTTATACGATTATTCAATCGTCCTTAAATTCAGCGGCTCCAAGAAATTCTTCTACTTCGCAAACCGCATCTGGTTTCTTAGACATAGAATACATACTGTATGCAGGCTGGCCAGTAACTTCCTAGAATATATCGATTACTACCATTTGTAATGTTGATAAGATCTGAGAACCAACCTTCTCAATGGTGAGGAAATCTGGGAGAGGTAGTGGTTCGCCCTTAGGAATGGTGGTGTAGGTTCCAAGAAACATCAAATGACCGTCGATTTGCAAGAGCATGCTGACGGTGGTAGTACTGTATAGATATCAAGATTGAGGTACTAAAAGTAATAAAAGTAATAAAAGAGAATAATAAAGTGATGTGGTAAAAGTCTGAGATATTGTAACAAATCAAGTGACGCAAGAATGACACAAACTTATAACCAAACGAATCTATTAGTAAGAAAAACCTGAATTATGAATCAGCTCACCTGGCAACCAACCATGAAACATCGCCTTTGTTTATGAAGCGGTAAACGGCTTGTATCTGTCATAGCCTGATAGCATATATTCGCGGAATGTAATTTGTGTTCTATAAATGACTTTCTTCATCACGTGCAATGAACTACCGGAGAATATTCTGACCTTCTTCCACAAAATCTTTGCCTGACACGAGATCTCGTTTGGTTATGGAATAGGTCGAACGACCATTGTGCTCACGAGAACGAATGCGAACCTACAAAACCTAGCTACACTTGCGCCAAATTGCTTTCTCCTTGGAAGAAAATTGTGGAGTTGAAATTTGAAACAATAGTAAGGTTTCAGAAAAGGGCAACAAGAGTCGTTCAGAAACATCATGAATGAAGATGCGGTGTCCTGACGAACGAAAAACCGGCAGTGTATCGATCCGAAGGAGTTAGTGACGCCAGAGGTTCCCGTTGCGCGCCAGCAGGGCCGACCTGACGCGCTTTGTGCTCGCCATCGAAGACGGCAGAGTAGGACGAGTATACCGGACGAAATTCAAACTGCCGCGGCGCCGCAACGCAGTCCTGCGCGGCCGCCGTAAGAAAATGCGCGCCTTACGACATACACCCGCGGGGATGTACATGCATACGGGCCTAGTGTATGAGCGCATGTCACAACTTTCGGCTGCCGCTTCCTTCATCTCGTCTAAGCTAAACGTTGGAGATACGCAAAAGCGCTCAGCCCCTTTGCGTCTGCAGTCCAATAAGTTTTGACTACGTCTGCTTTAAGCAAAGAAGCGCACGTGACTGCAAAATCGCTAAGAGCTGAACTGACATTTCATTAGTTCCATAATAACTACGCGCAGCCTGGTCACAATTTCTTGAACAAAAATTCTGTGGCATCTTTGTGGGAAGGTTGACGCAGTAAAAACAGGGGGCAAGAAAAGCGGATAATACTGGAATTCAGGACACAATTGGGAGAAAGTATGTGCTTTTAGAGCAGCAATGTGGACACTTTAGCTGTATTAGCTTTGAAAAGTTACGAAGTGTTTAGCTGTGATTAGCGACCCGAACAGCCCGACGCTTCTTGATAAGTTGTGAAGCAGAACCTGCTGAACTTCTACCGTCGTTACGTTGATGTCAAGCTGAGAGGCTGGACGTAAAAATGCAACTCGACAACGGTGCCAACGTATCGACAATCAGCCGCAACCCTGAAGGCCCCGCCTATGGAAGTGAGTGTTGCAAATTTATCGCTGATCAAAGTGCTTGGAGTTCAAGAGATGCATGCAGTGGAGTCGATGGCAATAGTTTATTCTATGTCATTAAGGTCCTGTGTTTGCTGGTTATGCTTCAACAGCAGCCGCCCTTCCAAGATGTTTTCTCTGCCATTTGCTGTGTCGTGAAGTCTCTTCGCCACTGGACGAAAGCCTCGCAGCTGAGTTTTCAGAAGTCTCCATGGATGGGCTGGGATGTGTCAACAAATTTGAAGCTCACCTTGTGCTGAAGAAGGATGCCACATCTTCTATGTGCCGAAAAGAAATATGCCATTTGCTGTAAAATCTCTCGTCAACCCAGAGCTACGCAGCCTCGTCGCTACTGAAGTTCTATCACCAGTCAGCTACTCGAAATGGGCCGCACCCTTCGTCCCAGTTCGAAAGAGGAATGGAGCAGTGCGCATATGTGCCGACTTTTCTACCAGACTGAACGACGCATTGGAGTTAAACAGACACCCGCTGCCCATTGCTGAGGAATTCTTCATCAAGCTGAATGGAGGAACGATCTTTACGAGTATCAATCTACGTGGCGCTTGCCCGCAAATGGAAATGGACGACGAAAGCAAGGAGTTGTTGACCATACGCGAGAGGACTTTTTCGTTACAAGCGCCTACCGTTTGGTGTGAAGAGTGCTCCAGCAATCTTCCAAGTGCTGATGAGCAACGTCACTGCCGATATCAACGGAGCGATCATTATATTTCCCGGATTAATTGTCGACGCGAAAAAAAAAGACGCCTTGGTCCTGTAAGGTACTAAAAGCTACGAAGGAATATTTGGATGGATCGATGCAATATCGCTGTTGTGCTTGTTATTCTATCGATGCTCTGCAGCAACATTGTAGACTTGCATCCCGAGTGCATTATGATCCAAACATAGCTTGTAATAAATCGATGTTGTGCTTCCTGTGATAATTCTGTATTGTTGGCGTAGGGCCTGATGAGTTTTCGTTTGCATAAATGGGCTGGCCATTTTGATCGGATCGGATCCGACATGGGAATTGGCTCGACGTTTTGTCTCTCCTATTTTTGCACTTCTCCGTTATCGTAAGTCATTAACTTTCTTCAAAACTTTTTTGTAAGTCCTTCTTCTTTTTGTAATGACAAACGTGTAATCTAGTCAGTCTGCCTAATGAATCCTCCGTTGATGAACCAACCATCTTTCGGGAACTCGCGCGCGTAAAACATTATGAGAAGGAAATTGATCACAGTCTTAAGAGGAATGCTGACATCGCACATATACCGCCGCTTTCCTTGGGTGATTTTGTTCTCCTCGTCTTTCCTGAAAAGGATGCATTCACAATGTGGACCACTAGATGCCTTGAAAAGGAAAGAAACACCGGTTGTCTGGGGTAAGGAGTGCTAGGAAGCATTCGACCGCCTTCGGGATTTAAGAAGAAGAGACTGGCCCTAGTTTTTGCCTTTAAAAAGTTCCACCGTTGTTAATCTATGGACAAAGATTCACTCTGTTGATGGATCACCACCTCTAATCATTTTGGGAAAAGAAATACCAGCCTACACTGCCAACCGTTTGCAACGATGGTCAACGACGCCGCTTGCCTATGATTTTGTCGTCAAGTACTGCTCCACGACATTGTTTGACATTGGACGGGCCGATGCTCTCTTTTGACTGCCTTCCTGCCAGAGAGCGCCGGACGAAGACGTCATCATCGCTACAGTAGAGGCTGATGTCACCGCCACTTACGAGGAGACCCTTGACCAGTCACCGTAGAAGAAGTACACTCCGTCATGAAAAAGGCATTGATGGAGTTGCTCAACTGGCTCGAGACAGGACATTGTCCAATAGCGCTTCCCGGTGCGCCGTTGCTTAATTACGGAATTCAACAGAAAGTACTCTGCATCTACAACGGATGCATTTTCTGGATTCAGGATCGTTGTACCAGCTCCGCTGAGGAAAAAGATTATGCGAATGCTGCGCGATGGACACTCTAGACAAAGGATGAAGCTGCTTACTCGCATCTACCTCTACTGGCTGGTAGTGAAGTAGACTTCAAGAAGACGTGGAATGCTGTCAGCATGGCAACTTGCCGCTAAGAATTTTGTGAAAGATAAATTAAAAATTAAAGCATTGCAACTTTCCTGATGGAACGCCTGCATATCATCTCGCTGTAAATTCTCCACGGACACATGTACCTCGTTGTCGTAGAGGCCTATTCCCATTGGCTCGCGATCATGGAAATGCAGTCAACCACGTCACCGCCACCATGCAGAAATCTGAACATCTTAAGCAGGTTTGGATTCCCAGAAACACTCGCTCTAGACAACGGCACTCAAGTCTCTTTCCATTTCTTCGAAGATTTTTGCAGGAAGTACAGAATTGGGCACATTGGTTTTCAACCCGCAGTTCAATGGTCTTGTTGAACGCTTCGTCGGATTTTCAACAGAGGACTTCTGAAGCTGAAAGGAGAAGGAAACCTTCCAGAAGCGCTGTCAAAGCTATGCTATGTTATCGCTGTACGCCCTCTTCGCCTGATAATCTTTCGCTCGCAGAGGTGTTTTTATACATCACACTCGCCTTTGGTCATTGACGTTAGAATTTTACATCAAGCTGCTCTCCCGAAACAAAATGTGCGATGGAAGCTCAGTACAATCGTCACCATAGGTCCAAGAAGGAAAAATTTGATTTCTACGATGCCGTCTACACTCGCGACTATCGCAATTCATCGAAACCTACTTCGACGTGTACGATCAAGAATTGGACGCTCACTTGACAAAGTCGAAGTCGAAGGATCCGTAGCCCTGGCAACCAGCTGCGCTCTCATGCTGTCCCCGATGCCAGCTGCACATTGTTGTACGAATTCGATTTTTTAGACTTCGACCTTCACAGAACGCCGACTTCCGTCGGGATCGTGGACATTCCCGCATCCGCTGCCCAGGAAGCTGATTGCACCGATAAGACGCCGCCAACTCTTGATGCCGATTCTAGAGAAGCCGATGATTTTACCATTCCACAGTCTCCCTCGCGTGTTGGCTGCTCTACAAGAGACAGGAAACGACACAGTTACGAAAACGACACAGTTAGGAACTTAAGGAGGGAGCTATTGGGGAGTGAAGTGTTTATATATTCTATTTGCTTGTATTGTTTTACCATTGTCTTTCGCTGTAATTCAATCCCTAATATTGCGTTGTTATTAGGTTGGTGCAAAAGTAATGCGCGTTTTGCGAATTCTCAGTTTGACGTGCTATAACTTTCTAAAAAATCCATGTTTTTCAGTGCGGCGAAGTTCATTAGTAGCACCAAATTTCTCTCTATACAGCGCACATTAACTTATGTTAACATCGCAAATCGGTAGAAAAATATGGATTGACAAGCAAAAAAATTTTTTTTCGGAAACCTCGTCTTTAACTGATATCATAATCTCCTTCAAAATTTGTCGGTATAAATGATAAGTTGACTGTCTTGTAGCCGCAAGCCAGTAGTGAAAAAATGTGCAAAAGGGCTCATATAAAGAATATTTGCGACAAGTAAAAAAATAATATTTAAAATTGTCCGCTTTTTTCGACATTTTTTCGTAGCCCTCAGAATCCCAAAATATGGAGATTTTTAATTTTCTGTGGACTGAACAGCTTCCACGCTCCTGCAAAAACTGTCAAGAGGAGGCCCACCCTCACGCTTATAGCAGTGAGCAAAACTTTGGCCTGCCCATTTCAAAGGAAATCTATGGGCCACAGAATGGCCAAAACCATCACTTCACGTTGAGGCGCCGAGATCTCAGTCTAAGTAATTTCTAGTAGAACAGTAAAGCGTGCATAACGTAGAAAATTTCTACTACATACAGTAGTTAAATTTTCAAAAGAATGCCTTTACCCGCGCTTGGATTCTGGCCGAAAAAGTAAGTGCAATGAAAATTCTGGTTTCGAGTGCGGTTGTATGAAGCTCTATAAAGTTTTAACGAATGAGGCTAGAAGCTTCTTTTAACCACCATTGAATAGAGCATGAAAGAAGCTTCTTGACAATATGCTGGCTAAGTTTCATAGGAGAAACTTCGATGGAGAAAAGCTATCTTGAAACAAGGGATAGGAAAACGCGCATTACTTTTTCACCAATCTAATAGATTTAAACGCTGTTCCCATGAGTTTCCCCCTGTTCTCATGAAGCCTTCCTAGGTCTCTAGCACCGGGTGGCACGCTTTTGGGGGCGTGTGTATATTACCGTATTCATTTGCTGATTCATTCTTTATTTCGATTAGCTGATAAATACTGAGTATGCTACTGTGTTGGCTCCACCACACAAGGCAAAACTACGACAAAAAAAGAATAGTTTGAGGCCTCTACTAAAATCTTGTGATGATAATAAAACTAGGCATTTTGACCACGTCGGATCTGAAAAGGAAGGGAAGTGCACCGTGAAACACAATTATTGAGGTGATCCAAAAGTAACGGGGCACTTAAAGAATGAATGCATGTTAA